ACAACACGAGAAGAAAAGTGGGAGAGAACGAGAAACCCGTTACGCGTTGGAACGCGATTCCGCTTGATGAAAGATGTACCAGGCTTGTCCCTGTTATTATTCCATTGTGCTGTTGATTCCCGCCACGGTCAGAGGATCCGTTAATTACCGCCAGAAGATGAACGTACCGCCGGCAATAAACGACTTTGATTTCGTTTTTGCACAAGATCGAATTACTGAATTTTTCACGTTAATTGACCTGCTTAAGGATTCACGGAAAGAGTATGAAAAAATAATTCTTCAAAGCAATGCTCGAAACTTCCAAACAGGGATAACGATGGTTCTTTTTTGGTTAGGTTTTCAAATTGAATATTTACTTGTAAGAAAAACAAAGAGGTTTTGAAGCAAATACTTCGAAGTTACAGATTATACGTTTATGCATGACTACTACCGATTAATTAGTTCACTTGCGTTGGATCGCGTTGCTCTCATACGGAAACAGTGATGCAGGCGTCCTGACGCGTTTACAGTAACTTCGGCGATGCGTATAACGCGACAAATCCGGTGGGCGTACCGCGCGAGTCGTACGTGTATCCCGCATGCACGCTCCACTACCGTGTTCAGATATATTAAATGTGGGACACAAGGGACGGAACTCTTTTTCCGGCCTTTTACTTCGCTATTCAGTACACTCTCAGCCCAGAAAAAAATATGCACGAGTCTTTTGACATTCCTACAAATGTACACAATAAAGATAAAATACCGAAGACATTTTTTTAAGCTGTTATTTTAAGTTCTTACAACTATCATACAAGACATACAAACTTTACAAATATGAAGGTCCGCTATAGTAGAATGCAATATTCATCGGTAGTAATTATAGTACAATATGAAGCTCTACTAGTTCTTAGTTATACATACAATTATCGAAGATAAATGAAACTATGAAACGTTTTCAGGCATGCCAAGAATAATGAGGTTCAGCCTATGGACGGTGATAGCCGCGCTGGCCTGCGTGGCAGGTGTCACTTCAGAGTACCTAATGGGCGGGCACATGGACAACAGTGCGCCAAAGTCCTTGTTGGAAGAGATCGAATCTTCTCCGAGTTTGGCAAGGACGGCGCAGCTGGATGACCTTGACCTGGATCTTGATGCAGAGGAGAGCACCGTTGCCCTCTCGACGTCCAACGACGAAGAAGCGCCGCGTTATCATCTTCCGTATCCTTTCGCCTTTAACGGTGGAAGGCCGTTCTCTCTGGAGAAAGATCCCATCACTGGGAAGATCGACTTCGAGAAGGCACCGCCTGTCAAGGCTCTAAATTTCAGCAGTCGTTATCAAGAACACGCGAACGAGAATGAACCGGCCAACAATAAGAACTCCCAAAAGGAAAATAATTCTCACTCGCCGAAGAAGAAGATGGAGAATAATAAGGAGACAGATGACGTTAGTCCCAATGAGATTAACCCTTATTCGCCTAATTTTCATGACTTCCTCAATCTTCCAGTTCATTATTCTTCTGACAAGTACGACAAGGACAAGTACCCGTTGATATCAAGTTCCTACGCGAATACAAAGGTTCAGAGTGGCTCAAATAGTTACAGCACTTACAATCACAAGCCCTACCATGGAGAAACTGTGATGTATTATCCTACCAGGAAGCCGTACGTACCTAAGGCAACTTCGCCTACGACTACAACGACTACGACGACACCTAGATCGAGGCCATTCACCACGACTACCACTACTACAACTCCTAGACCAACAACGACCTCAACTACGACAAAACCGACAACCACTACGACTACGACCACTCCTCCATCGCCAACTGCAGCTTCCACCTCCACGAGAGCACCTGTTGTAACTACCTGGAGGCCTCCAATGTCCACTACTAAACGATTCACTGATCACTTGGAGGATTACGATGATATACTTCCAATAGAGAAGCTCCAGGCTTCCATGTACAATAATAATCATCAAGGGCCAAATAACATAGTGCAGCATACACGAGATCCTCAAACGAAACCACCGGTGAAGCATGAGGAGTATATCGACAGCTATGAGGACTATGAAATCGGTGAAGGAGAGGATATGAAGGACTACGTTTCGATGAAGGAGCCGACCAATGAAGTTGTCAGAACTAGCACGTTACCTACCACGACACAAGCTGTTCTTAACATGACCACGACCACTGGGACTCCAGAAACTACCTCTATGATCACCACAACGACAAGTATGCCATCGTTATCTCCATCGACAGCGTATTCATCACCAGTGCCTCTAGAGAGCACTTTCCACAGCAATTTACTGCCATTCCAAGGTCTACCGCAGCGTCCAGTAACGTCTATGCCTTTGGACAATGATCCTAGAGTGCCATCAGGGTTTGAGAATGATAATAGAAGGCATGGTATCGCGGATAATGTTATCATCAATCAGGGATATCGACCAAATACGCTTATCAATCAAAGACCAACTGGATTAGGCGGAGGAATACTTGTAGAAAGTACCAGTAACATAGTGATTCCACCTGATCAGGATACAGTGTCTTTTGTACTTGGCAATCGACAGAACGTTGAAGGTGGCTACTATTCATTGGGCACAGCGATTGGAGAGAATCCTTATGGTGGTTCCACTGGTATCGATGTCTCTTTCCGGCCTCTCTACGGTGTTTCACCGGATAAAGCTAATTATGATCCACCAGCAGACCATCGAGGAAACATTGGTTTGCCCTCGGTGTCTGTGTTGGACAACAATCCTACTTATGCAGCTCAGACATGGATGCAGCCCAATCCTTCTAGCCCTCAGAAGCTACCCAATGAGATAGAACCTTCCAGAATTCAGAATTCGTTCGTCAAGGGTACTGTGCTGCTCGAACAAACAGAGGACAAGAAGGAGGATAAAGATATCAACTTCGTGGTGTTCCCAAAGGATGAACCTAAACAGCCAGTAGAGGAACACATCGTTATCGTGAACGAGGCTGATGGCACTGTACACGAAATCACAGCTTCCTCCACAACGTTGAAACCTATAAGGATGGAGCCTCCAGTTCTCAGTGAGGAACACCTCCCACAACTTTCGGAGAACCTAACTCCACCGGCTGAACGACCAAAGCCACCACCACAGTTCTATTATCACTATCACCATGGAGGAACGACTAGGCCAGACCATCCCAGACCTCCTCAAAGATTACCATTGCCACCTCGTGGAAAGCAACCACCGTCTCCTCTTCCCCCACCACCACCTCCTTCAGAGTCAATGGGAATAAGAAGACGTCCTTACTCTCCGGATTCTAATCTGCCAAATATTCTGCCACAATTTCGACCAAACGCCAAGACATCACACGGACATCGTGGATCAGAGGCCATTGGAACGATTCCAGCTGGTCAGTCTTATCCACCTAGAGTGAGGCAACCTGTTCAATCTCATCCTCCAACGAGAAGACCCATGCCACCACCTCCACCCTCTTATCTTCAGAGACTGAATCCTCCTCCTCCTCCAATTCACGCTCTCAAATTAGCCGGTGCAGCCTCTACGAAAACGGAGAGCATAGTTCCACCTAGAGAGGCGGAATCAACAGTGAAGAGGTTTCGTCTCCCAGCGGTACCAGTTACTTCAAGGGGCGAGGACGACGTCAAACTTGCGCATCGGTTGTCCAGTCAGAAACTGCGACTTGAGGAGGAGGAACGGTCGGAGCGTTACTCGGAGGAGCCACCCCAGGTGCCACCTAGACCTCCTCTGTTCCCCAAACGAAGAACAGCGGATTCTCCACACGTAGCAACTCTTCAGATGATTCAGCAGCATGGGGAGTTTGAGGAGGACATCACAGAGCCAAATCTGTCAGCTATGAATGCAAACACAAACGATGATTCAGACAGAATTGTGATTGAACAAGAAGCAGACAGAAGAAAGTTCGACAGTCATGAAACCATGGCTGAGCCACCAGTTTATGTAGTCTATCCTGTTAACACTGCCGTGAACATTCACCCTGATGACTCTAGAGAAAAAGATGAGAGCGTGGTAGTAGGTACAAGAGGTCCTCATAGACCTCTTCCACCAGAAACGCTTCTTCAAGATAACGAGGATGAAGAAATTGACGAAGAGCCAAGTCCTCCAATTCACAATATATTCAACGGACGACCAGTTGCCTCAGATTTCCCGTATCCTTTAGAACGTCCTGATCCTTCTATTCTTGTTAATGGAATGAGGGAAACGCCTTTACTGGTGCCCAGTGATCAGAAACAACAGGAAGAATCTATGAAAGAGAACACGGAAGAGAAAGATGACAAGGACTCCAGTGTAAACGTCATACCGTACTTACAAGACTTTGTGCCTTTCCCAGCGAGGAAGAACGATGTTATCTCGGCAACACTTCATCGTCTTCCAGCTCTGTCGTCGTCTACACCGATTGCCTACGTCTACACGCCAACTGCGCAAGCATCTCACCGTCTTGACGTGGATATCAGGGACGAAGAGAGCTCCAAGACTGACAAGAGTGACCAGAAGCCTGTTCTTCTACCATCTCAACAACCATCTAGCTCCTCCAGTTCTGCACCGTCTCCGCAGAACTTCATGGCGCCGTTTGTAGCAAGTGTCAGCGCAGAAGCACCTTCGAAGAACGGCTGGAGCGTCGTTGTGGTCGAACCTACGATTAGCAGGAAGTCAGACGACGATTCTTCTGAGATTACATCGGATGCAGAGGAATCTCAGACAGAGAAAGCTGAATTCGACGCTGAGAATTTCAAGCCGCAGCTGTTTGGTGGCTTCAAGCCGATTTATGAGTTTCCAGCGCAGGATGAAGACAGGCCAGACGGTCGAGAATCCAGCGATTTAGACTTAGAGGTGGCCACGCACGACCAGGAGTCGGCTGATTCCACAGTTTGACGAAGGAACGCGTTTATCATGTAAAAAAGTATATCAATTGAATGAGCATAAGCTTGGTTTCGAGTATTTCGTTGATCATTGTCATGTTCCTCTTGGCATTGCCGTTTTTTTCTATTGTGGTACAAATCTATTTGAGCGATTCTTGTATTTGGAGTACTGGAACAATGCTGACTGGAACGTTGCCCCGAAGAGGGAACTAAATATCTCGAAACTGTGTGCACTGGTGATTGGGACAATTCGTTGTCTTTACGGGGGGTCAAACTATACAAGTCTGAATATTCATATGATCTTTGGTACTTTTGGATCATTGAATTTTAAAGAAATGGATTGGATGCAATGGGGTGCAAGCAGTATACTTGGACCAATTACTTAGAAGTTATTTAACAATAAACATATAGGCTCTCTATTTGATAGTGAAAGATTTATATGAAAGAAAGAAATTTGTTGAATGTACTTGCACCGCTTTGCATGTAATCCTCTTAAAGATATCCACAAGGAAACATCTGAAACATTTATTACATTAAGAAAATACTTATATTTATGTTAATTGATCTACTTTATTGATAAGATCTGTAGTAATTTATAAAATTCTATCGATAAATTAGAAACTATATTTTGTACATCTAGGTTCGTATGTATCGTATGTATTATACAGTTTCATACATGAGTCACCATGAAGAATGTATACTACATTATTTATTTTACACTAGACTCGTGAACGTATATGAAAACGCATTTTTCTCATCGATGATCGCAATTATACGCTAAGCATTTTACGCAATAAATTATTCTTTAAATTATTCATTGTACGCTCGCTTTTATTCATACTAATGCCCTCTTAAATGCTCCGAATTTTGTACAATATGGTTTCATACAAAAAACAAATGCGCTCTGGTTATATACTATCAATATTGTAATAACAATAGCAGTAATACTGTAGATTGACAAGAATATAAATAATTAATTTTCTAAGGAAGACGAACGATCATCGTGATTCGATTAATTTTGTACAAAATTTAAAAATAACAGAAGTACTGTCCTTCTTATAAACTAACACCAGAATTACACTGGATACCAGTCCCATATGATTAAAAGAACGCATTGAGTAGCACCTACTCATAAACTTCTCTTAAGTAGAATAAATACCTTATATTGAGAAACGTTTGTTTTGTGCCCCCATCGATAAGTTATAATTAATCACTTATAACCTATTTAATTATATTAAGGCAAGGATGATATGGAATTACGCGTAATGACATGTAAATTTTTGTTGGTAGCGTGATTGACAAAGAGTCGCAAATCCAATTTCAACACTACCATGCCTTTTTCAACCTCGTGCAATCGAATGGATTTCTGTATTGGTCCACATGAATCTCTACTATCTCTCATTATGTCGGCAACTCTTATTTCTGCTCGACCAAGGAATTCTATAATAATATTTAAGAAATTATATATCTACATTTTTTGCTATAAAATGTTCACAGTTATATTTTGACTAAAAATGCAAAATTAATTTTACCATCTGGGCTATAATAGCCCTTATCAAATACTGTGATACACAATGTATCCTCCAATAAATCTTTCACTTGGAATTGCATTGATGCATCCCACAAGGGACATCCACTTCCTGATACAACACCTGTCCCCTCTTCCTGTGAGCCCATACTCACTTTACAGAATGTATTGCACTTGCCTACAAAAATTTATTTTTATATTGTTGTTGTAATACATCAAATAGTTTGCAGTTTTTATATTGTTAATAATGGATAAGTTGCATGTGTAAGTTGCAATTGCAGAACATTTAAAGCGAATAATATTATTAAATTTATTATTAAATTACTAAATAAAGATGAAAGAACAGTGCACATTAAGAGTTAAATAGAAGTAGAAAATTAAATAATAGCTAAAAAATAGAGTGCATCGCGCACTTCTTTGTTATATTTATCTTTGTCTACCTACATTCTGAATCTTGAAGTAGAACTTACATGCAAACAAATAATTTTACCTTTCCTTGGGATAATTAAATCTTCAGCTTCCACAACTACTAATCGAAGTATACCTTGGGGTGGTCTCCTGCGAACTACAATCATGCCAGACTTTTGTTAGTAAAAATGCGTGAGTGCAGTTAGGCAGTGTAATTGTGATGATGATCCTTGATGGTTCACACAGCTTCCTTTCATTGCACGCTTTTTACAGGAAAAAAGTAAAAACTACCAAGCAACCGCAACCAAGCAAGTACATGCATAAAAAAAAAAGCTAGCATCTTAAGCACACACGTTTGCTTACCAGGTATTGTTTTTAAATTGAAACCTGCAAGCACTGTAACAAGAATTCTGCCGCACGCTCCGAACTGCGCCTGCTCTGTTTACTCACACATATTACATGTTATTATGTGTAAAAATTCATGATTAATATTTTCTCTGTACTACACCATATTTATGGTATTTATATTAGGACAAATAAGACATGGCGATTTGTAATTTAACAATGAAAAGAAGAATGGAGAAAAGAAAAGTATGACTCACTTGATCGCTGCCTTTGCAAACGTGTTTTCTCATTTTCCAAAAATATTTTTCTTGCTTCTGTAATTCTTCTAACCCACAGTGAACATTCACTTGGAGATGGTGCTAGTAATATTATTGGTTTCTTTTGATCCTTTAACCTGAGTATTTTAGTCAAGTTCTCTGTGCCCTCTCCAAAACCTAAACCAACATTTCCATTCGTATCTGAATCTCCCAGGAAAGATAATTCCTTTAAAAATATTGGCTGCAAGGAAAAAAAATTGTGCTTGGCATCAGAGCTTTATGCATATATTAATTTTCTATCAAATACCTTTCTATACATCTTAAATTTTTGGTGTTCATTTCTCTCAAATGAAAATTGTTGTCCACTGGAAAAAGACTTTTTAGCAAGAACTGGTTGAGCAAACAGTAAAAAATCGTTTGTGAGAAATCCAACAAGTTCCTTTCCACTTTTCGCCTAAGGCAGACACGAAGGTTATTATTTTACGGAAAAAATGTAATCTTAGATTTCACTTACCTTATGAAGTATACCGAAATGAAGAAGCTTTCGTGGACCTAAAGAATTTGTTAAAGAATTAAAGATAAGTTGTTCCTCAAGACCATCACAAGCAACATGTGTTTGTAGCCATTCTAATCTATCGCTATTTTCTTTCTCTCTAACTCCTTCATTTACCTGTGGAGAATGTAAATAAAATTTGTATGAGTCATTTAAAACTTCCTTTTTAAATTGCGTGATTTGCATTTACAAAGTATCATCTACCTGAGTACAAAATTCTTCTGCTTTAGCCAATGCTTCTTGAAGGTATTGTCTATCAGGATGGTCAAGTGGAGTATGCTCTAAAATCTAAAATGATTACAACAAGTAAATATAACAAGAAACGTGGAACAAAATTAAGGCTGTGAAAATGATAGATACTTTGCCAATAATAAGAGGATACTTTGTTATCCTTTGCATTGGTTTTATCAAGAAAGAACTCAAAGGCATTCCTTTTGTACGTGGATCTTGTTGGCAAGTATGTGCAACTTTGACAAATTCTGGTTCAGTTTCAGTCAATCTCTGAAGATAGACAGCAGCAGATATTTGACAACTGCAGAATCTGATATAAGCTGACATTCGGGGTATCTAAAATATATAAACACGAATACAGAACTCCAATTGCATGAAAGTAATTGCAGACAAAAAAAAGATATTTACATTTTCACACAAAATATCTCCAATCATTCTTACAATCCCTCCTTTGCTGTTATCTCGTCGTATCCGTAATGTTCTGAAAAGTATTCATTAACTAAATGATTATGGTCATTATCTTTTTGAATAAAATATTTCTAAATATACTACCTCAAAAAATTATCATTGCATGCAATAATATCCCTCCAATTAACAAATATTTTATCCACTTCATCCACAGTTAAAACTAAACTTTCAATGAGAGGCTTCTCAAATACCTGTAAAAATAGTTTTAAAATTAAAATTCAAGTATAAATCAGAAGAAAATGTTTAGAAAATTTGAAGATACCTCGTGAACGAGTCTCATATCTTCTATATACGCTTGTTCCGTCGTGATAAGCTCTTTAATGTATTCTTGCCGCTTTCTTTCCATGGAATCCAACCCAGCCATTAGTAAGTCAGTAGTCATCTCATCAGCTACACATAAAACGTTTGCAAGAAGTTCCTTTTATCTCTTTCTACTTTAACTAATTTTAGATTACTTGCTCCAAATAAAGAACTATGCAATTTTTAAATTATCACATCAAAGTATGACATAAAACATAAAAGGACATAAATTAAAATATTCTCTAAGATATTTAAATTGGTTATTGGGTTACACTCAGTGATATAGAATTGTTGTACACAACAATGCTTTACAACAGACAGATACTTTATTTCAATCAGCAGGTTTGCGAACACGTCTGTATATTATGTATGGATATGTGTACATATGTATAAGAACGGCGTGTATATGCATGTGAGAAATTTAGAGTATATTCACATGAAGTGTGAACAGAAAACTGTAATAAATACACAGTGATTTGAACTTGTCCACACCCATACAGTGTCCTTCGCGTCAAAGTACACCACACACATTTGAGATTCATTATGAGATTCGACATTACAACAAACAAACAATATGGATATTTTTGCAAATAGTAACAATCTTAAGGATATAGTACTACACAAGTATTCCATCTAAGAATAACCAGTTGCATAACTTGCTTTACACATTGTCAACATCTTTAGATAAAGATTACAAGATTATTGGCGCATCTAGAATACTTAATGTTAAGCACACAATATTTAGTTTGTCAACCAGACATATTTATACACCTTTTCTTGCAAAGAGTTATATAGAACGTGTAAAAGGATTAACCAAGTGTATAAATATGCTGGCCTACTGTGCGCTTGATTCTTGCGATTTTTCGAAACTAGTTATTCCATCAAGTTCCTGAATGTTTCAATGGAATGAACGCTAAATATAACGCGATACACAATGATTTGCTCGAATAAATATCTCGCATTATTTTGCAAAATTTGTATAAAATTTTAGACGCTAAAAAATATGAATTATTGGAATATTTTATAATTTAAATCGTAAAAAAAGTTTAATAAAAAATAGTAAATCATTTCAAGGACAATTGTTTAAAACAATAACAGAATATTTAAGTATCTCAATGACGAGAATAACATATTTGTATAGTAACACTTAAGCATCCTATCCTTAAATAGTACAAGCTATTATACTCAGGGGTAAATTGATGGAAAAACTGGTTTACGACGATATAACATTACTTAACAAATCGTTCCCACCAGTGGTAATAATATTTATCTATAACTTTATGATTGTTATTACTGATATTTTTTATGATGATTTAGGCTCTATAATAAAAGGCTGCGAAGAAGGAGCACATCATCTTCCATCATGCGTTACCGGACAGATTAAAGGAAAACAAACAATAACTATATATATATGTAATATTTTTATTCTCTTTGTAAATATTATGTAATAATATTACTATCTCTTTTCGATTTTCTACAGATATCTATAAAATTTGGAATTTAAACAAAAATATATAGACTGTATAATTGTTTAAAAATTTCGAGACTAAACAAGTATCTTCTATACATTGTAACAAACTCTTCACCTGTTTGTATGGTAAAGAAAAAACATAAACGTCAACATTATGATTTAACAACTCCTTCTCCCTTTACATTGAAGGCAAGCAGAAAAATAATATTCAGTTACCCACACTTTTTTTTTGCTCTAGGCCTTGGCGCAGTATAACTGTACAAACCATCTGTATTGCACACCAAATGATACACTAATGCTAACAGAAAAAAAAGAGGTAGTATTTGAACTTCTTCAAAAACTTTTCGTAAGGGCACCGATTATGAAAATTTAAGATTACTATTAGCGCTTGTACAATCTAATATTTATCGATCCGCTAACACTTTAAGCCCGACGTTTGTTATTTAATAATGCTCCTATATTTTTATTTACACATAAAGCTGCTCAAATGTTGTTAAATACATAGAATAGTATGAATGTTTTACAGATAAATAGTTCGATGTTTATTGTCCTTGCTCCTAGCAGAATGTGCTGCTCTGTAATCTACCATAACTATAACTTTGAGTATAACCGTTGCTTTTTTTGTGGTTTTTTAAAACCTTTTTACGGGCTGAAAGTGCTAGTATAAACGAAATATACATCTAATATTTTCTAAAGATAGAACTTTTTAAATAAATACATGTTAATTTTACATTTCATTCGAGATATCAAGTATTGACGGATATTACTCCAAATATTAAGGAAATCATATTCATCACCTTTTAAGCTCTGTCTTGAATTAAAGTAGGGAGTTGAGGTAGAATTTGGTGCACATGTCAGGTGGTTGTAATGACACGGTATAATTCGTTATTAAATATTTAGCGCTTCCGTGTACGCATACGTTTATAAATACTGCGCAATAATATTCGCGTTCAAACCATACATAGAGGTTCAATAGTTTGAAGAATAATGGTCAATAATACACATGGTAACAATTTGAATGACAATGAAAATAACGGACCGAGTAAGAACCTCGAACCAGAAGAAAAAGACTTGCAATAATTCAGAGTAATATAGAAACGAAGAACCAGCCCTGAGTCTTTCTTTCTCTCATTTTTTTTTTTGTGTTTTCATTTCTATGCTCACTGTCTCCACCGATGAGACTTGTTGGTTGCAACACGTTGCGTTCAATGTAGAGACTGCTATCATTCTTATTGCACTTGAGAGGTTTTTGTTTTAGCCTGCAATGCTGCGGTGCTGCTCTGCTATCCTTTATGCTGCATGTTAAGCAGAGGCGAAAGATAACAATTAGTAAAAAGAATTCATTGTTTCCAGGTATTTTGTAGGCAAATGATAGATGTTTAAACTCCATGAAGTAGCTATTTCGCTTTACAATATTATTCTTAACATTATTGTAAATCTAGTTGAACATTTTACAAAACTGTACCTTAAAATAGTGAAGCAAATTATTAAAGTAACTATGGTATATTTTTAACTTTAAGTTTGTACCTGCTAATGATAATGATTTGCTTTTCTAATTTATGGTACAAAATATTTCACAAAAGTACTCAAGACTTTTATTATTACTAATGATATAACGTTACGAAGCTATACGTATTTTTAAAGTTTTAAAGTAAATAATAATTAATATTTTTTTTAATTAATTGTACATATACAAAATTTTTCAAATGTATTACTGAAACGAAGCAGCTACCTCAAACGGACAGACGGACGGACAGGCAGGCATGCAGGCAGACAGGCAGGCTGTATGATAGAGAAAGTACACTTCTCTGATAATTGATTCCGCAAACTACCCGTTATAAATAGACCAGAAATGAAATTACGATTATTATAAAGTACAGATGTACCGCTTTCCAAGCCAAAGTGCTGATTCTAATGCAGCCATATCAGAGCAGAAAGCACACATAACACCCGTTGTGAATAATAATAATCAATGAGACACCGTGTTTTCATGTAATTGTCACCAATTCAGATACCATTCTTATAAACCATACATAATGGGCATCGCTAATTAATGTATACACATCTAACTTAATAGGAATTGATAACTTATGTAAAAATATTTAACAAGTATTCTACTTATGCCTGTAACCTATAGCTAATATCAAATAAGTTCTATAAGTAAGTGTTCTATAAGTAATATTTATTGAATATAGATATCATATATCTAACTAATTCATTTATAACGATGTATCTAAAATCATGTATTTAATAACATATATTTATACAATAACATATACATTAAGTACATTCAATTAGACGTAGTACTCAAGTATTTATTATTTTATCTGGTCCTACTAAACGACCGTCGTATTAAATTACAGATTGCGTTATCAAAAATTTTTTAATAATCAATACTGTCAGAATATATCGATTCATGTCTTACAATCACATATAAAAATAAAACCTGACGGTCGTCCGTCTATCCGTGTATTATATACTGACTATACGATCATATTTATTTTATACTATTTCAAGTAGATTTTATGATACTAGTGTATTGTACAATTGCTTTATTACTTTTCCTTAATGAACAAGTATAACAGACGTAAATAAATTATATTTCAAATTTTGCAAATGAAATGTACAACTACATGATAAAAAAGAATACTTACACATAGGAGATACATAATTACTGGGGAAAACGCCAGACATTCCGTTTAATTCGCCTTTCCACCATGCGGATTCCTCTTTCGCAAGTACAGTTATAACATCACCTTTCTCAAAACTTAATTCATCCTCATTTTGTGCCTGATATGGATATAGTGCCATAACGCGCTCTATATTGGTAAAATAAATTGTTATATCGTATATGTTCTTCATACATATGGATATGAAACAATGTCAAAGTTAAAAATTACCAACTTACCAACATTTGGATCTGTAGGTGAGTCTTGATATCCGTGTGAAACCGGCGTACTTCGATTGCTACTGCTGGTGAAGGGCTTAACATAAGAGGCTGGGAACCACCCAATTTGTCTCTTTTTACCACGTGCCTGAGGAAAACAGAAATAGAAGTATGATCAAAAATTTATTTATGTACAATGAATAATAGATCTCCATACCTGTAATTCTCCTTCCCACCATCCAGAATCCGTCTTTTTGCGTATCATTATAAACTGTCCTTTTTGTAAATCTAACTGTTCAGAACTAGTAGCTTGATAAGGTGCAACAACTTGTACAATTTCAGGTTTCCTTCCTCTCTGTGTTAAAAATAAAAAACATATTATGAAAATGTATTGGAATTTGTATTATTCTATTCTCGTATAACATTATAAACATTGCAAATTTATATATTATTTACCAAGCGGTAAGACACAGGCATTAATTAAGGATAAATTATGAAATACTGTAATTGGCAGATACATTTTGTAAAAGGTAAAGTACCTTATGATACTGCAATAACGGGACGCCAGCAATAAACATAATAGAAAGCAATTAAATTTTATTAGATACTCAATGGTGTATACGCCGAGATTACACATACGTTGTAAGCACATTTTAATTACCTGCTGCGCAGCCATTGCTGTAAAATCTGGCAACTCTGCTCTATCTTCTGCAGCTGCTCTCTCATCTTCGAGCTGCTCAGCAGTTTTCTCCGCTGGCTAAACATGGGATATACGCGCGACTAGCATTTTACTTTGCACACTAATTATCAATATTATGCTGACAGAGTTAAAGCTACTAAGCATTTTGGAATATATAATGGCTATTTACAATGCAGGATAAGTATATTTTTAAGATAATTACTAATGGAAAGCATTAGAATCAAAATATTACAAACCATTACTGTCTGAGCAACTGAAACGGGTGTTTCGTGATTACTCGTGGTTGTATCCGTAGTTGTCGTTGTGGTTGCAGTTGTTTCAGATACGTTAGTAGTTACAGAGACACCCTAATTCACATTACATATAACACAATTTTAAAACATCACTTCATATTTTTTAAAAATCTTAAAACTCATAATAAAAACTGAAATTAATCACCCAAACTTCACTCAATGAAAAATTTCAGGTTAAAACAGTCTTTGTACCTGATCTGGAGGATCGCATTTTTCTACATAATTTGCAGGAAAAATTCCAGTCCTGTCCTCTATATTCCCTGTCCACCAGTCACCCTCCTTTTTAGTGACTAATATAACTTCTCCTTGGTTGAAAGTTAGGTCTCCAGTTTCGGCAGAGGTATACGGATATAAGGCTATATAATACTCATTGAGACCATCAACCACTGCAGCCTGAGTAGCGGCGATTTCTTTGACGTATGACTTAGGGAACCAACCATTGACATCAGCGCTAGAAGTACCATACCACCAATCACCCTAAAATATTAAAAAAGTTACCTTAATATATTTTTATCATAGACATTTTTTATACTAACCTGTTGTTCAATAACTTTAATAATATCTCCCTTTTCAAAAGAAAGATGCTGTTCCGTCGTAGGATGATACTGATATACAGCTGTTGCTTGTATATCACAGGCTACACCTAATCCAAGAGTAGGTATGATAGGTTCAACAACAGGAGGTTCACCACCCAGTGATCCTGCATCAGATACATTCTCAGGAACTTCAGCAATTCCCCTATAATAAAAAGATAGTAATAAATTACAAATGTCCTCAACAATTAATTATAATGTAAGTTTAATCAACTAACTCTAACGTTCTCTTCTCAACGCTATCTTGTTGTATGAAAGCGTTATCATTTGTGGTTGCGACGTCTACTGGTTCTACGTAAGATTCAGGGAACCAACCGGTATGACCACGAATTTCACCAGCCATCCATCCTGGCTCTGCGTTCTGAACGGGTGGTACCTGTTAAAAGTACAATTTAATCTTTCTTTTCTTTCTTATACCAACTTAATATGTTGATACGCATTTATAATAATACCAAGATAATGTCGCCAGGTTGAAATGATATTTCATCTTGATTTCTAGCTACAAATTCATACAGAGCTCTATACTTCATAACTCCAGGGGTTGCTTCTTCCTCTGTGGCAGTTGTGGTGGTATCATTAACAGGCCAAGCAGTATCATTGACTGCAGTTGAAGTGTCATTCCAAGCATTGTCACCCCATGTAGAGGTTGTGTAATCTGCACCGCCGCTTGCTTTGAGTTCCAAGACTTTTAACTTTTTATCTTCGAAGCTAACATAAAGATTTTTGCAATCGATCACTAAATTTTTCATCTGTGTTTTAATATCTTCAAGTTGGCCATTATTATTTTCTATGTCAGCCATTTTAGCCTCGATCTATTTATTAATATCGATATCGTATTAAAAAATTATTGCACTTTAAATATATAAAACGTTACTTTGTATTTTTATATAGATATACCTGTTGTTCCAAATCAATGATTTTATCCTTCATTTGTTTAAGGGTTATTTGTTTATTGTCGAACGCCATTTGAACAGCTTCTTGACCTGCTGATTCCGCAGCCATGTTTCGCTTATTCTTCGCCTCAATGCGAGCCTTCTCTTGACTCAAAGTTAGTAACCTCTGGTTTTGTTCGCGAAGTTTATTTTTTAAGGCAGCCATTTCTTGTAATTGTGCATCGCGCGTTGATCGCATGCCATCGATCGTTGTTTTTACTCCGGATACACCCACCCGAGTGTCGCAAATTTTTTGTGACAATTCTTTTACTTTTTCGTTCTGAATAACAACAAACGAATATTATAAAAATTAATTACTTCAATAATAAGTTTTTCAATACTTACAAGTGTTCCAAGTTCAATAGTTAATGTTTGATTTTTTGCTTTCAATTTAAGTAATACATCTTGTTCCTTTTGTCTTTGAGTTTGAAGTTCCTGTGATTTTTGCCTTTCCCATTCTAACTGCCGTTGCCTTTCCATCTCTCTGTAAAATAAAGTGAATTCATATTATTAAAAGATTTGAAGACTTTCATAATTTTTAATTCTCATAAAAAATTTCACTTGCTTTCGTGCAGCTTCTCTTTGTTCCTGAGCTCGTTTTCGTTGTTCTTCCTTCTCGAACTCAATTTCCTTCTGCCTTTGCATTTGTTTCTCAATTTCTGCTTGCCTTCGTCTTTCTTGCTCTAATCTGTACAATATTTATTTATTTTTTTCATTAATGTAAAACGCGCTAATACAAAACAAGATTCACTTACCTAATTTTCTCTTGTTTCTCAGCCTCTTCTCTTTCTTTCCGTTCGCGTTCTTCTTGTTCTTTCCGTTGAATTTCTAACAAAGCCTTACGTCTACGCTCTAATTCCGCTTGACCTTTTTCAAAGTTTTCTTTACGCTTGTCTTCAAAGGATGTCTTTGAAAAAAATAATGATAGCACGTAACATATGTCTTTCTAATACCTAAAATATACATAAAAGTTAAATTTACCTGTGGCATACCGGCCGATGGATCTATATTTTCCGTTCCAGTCTGTGAAAGTGTTAAACTACTTTGTCGCTGACGTCTAAACGCAGGTGGAATAAGTTCTATAGGAAGCGCAATGGGTATCTTTTCACCAGTCTTAGCTACATCACATAAATGCATTGCTAATACAAATTCGTCACAGCTCAAGCGACCATCCGAGTCCATATCTGCTAACGCCCTAACAGTACAATAATATTCTATAGAAATGTTAAGAATTATCCTTCCACGGATGACTATTTGATGTATGTTTCTATGTTATTATACCATATCTGTGCCAACACTTGTTGAGGTAACTGTGATTGCACCATAATGTTCCTGGCCTGAGGACCAGATAAATATCCAGTTCGTGTCCTGTCCCATGTATTGAACAATTGAGTATATTTTAATTTTGTTTGATGAGGTACAGCCCATTCCACAGCTTGTGGGGAACCTACAGAATGCTGGCTGTGTTGTGAATCAATTGAGCCCACCCTATCTATACTTGGTGGACGTGCAGTTGTGCTTAATGGTGTGCTTGTGGATACTGGTGTTTGAGCAATTACACCATTTACTAATGTACCACTTGCTGCGGTTGCTGACACTAGAGGTAAACCTACAACTGGAGGAGCTGACACCACCCCTGTTCCTAAAAAAACATATAAGTACATTATAGGATAATAAAACAGCACACTTTAATGTTGCAATGCTTAAATTATACATACCAGTAGACATTGGTGCAATGGATGGTATCATAGCAGAACCTGTAATTGGAGCACCCATTCCAGTACACAATGGTTGCATTGGCATTGTTTGTCCCATACCAAAAGCTGCAATTGGTGTTGGATTTGTATTTAAGGGCGCAATTGGTGCTACTGCAGGCATGCCTGTTTGAAAAAAACATTTTTTGTATTAAGATATGATTTTATTGAATGTATTAATTAATTACAGGTGATACTAGAAATTATTTGATAAATAACTCAGTTAATGTTGTTAAATTACTAATTACTATACAATTCATACATCTATTAGTAATACAAAATAGCACAATTTCATAAATATTATACATATTAGAAACTTATCTCAAGGTGTAGGAAAATAAAGATTTAAGAATACCATAAGAAAGTAACTAAGTTTCATTATTTATTAGTCAAATTAAGTAAAAATAACAAAACTATACTTCTACAAAATTCATTTCTTAAAGTATACCTGAAAACTCAAGATCAAGTAAATCTGTAAAGGAAGAATAAAACATCAATGACAACTCGATAAATTTTCTGATTCAAATGTATCTGTATATTTTACCCATAGCTGATGTAGTCATTGGCTGTACAGGTTGAACTGGAGGAACAACAGCCGTGGCAGAAGCAGCTGGAACTTTTACTGGTGAAATTCCAGCTGCAACAGGACTATTAGGAAACGATGGTGGTGCTGGTTTTGGTGCTGGACCAGTGGTAACAGGTGAAAAATTTGCCCCTGAAAACACATGACTCAACTTACTCATAAATATCATTAAAAAAAATATTTTAATAGGAATAGATAAAATAAGTAAAAAATATAATCAATAGCAAAGCCAAAGTAATTAAAAAAAGTAAAAGAAACAATATAAATTAAAGCTGTAACTACTACAAAGCTTAGCAATAAGTACAAAATTAGTTTACACATATGTATGTAATGTAGGGGATAATTTTTTATTAACATAAGGTGTAGTTGTAATGATGTATAATACAAAAAGGAATCATTTCCTTGCCTTACAATTCTAAAACCATGGGAAAATACTACCTAAATATACATGCATTTTTATCTATCATACTTTCAAAGAAATAGATATCTATTTCTCAAATCCTGTTTGCACTTTGAAACATACCAATGTTTGTGGGTGGTGCAGGTCTTTGAGGAGGCCCACCACTAATGGTAGTGGTAGTACTTGTAGAAGGCACGATTCCTTTTTTTGCAGCATAAATATTATACCATTGTATAAAACGTTGTATAAGTGTGTCAATATAAATACACATAAGAAAGAGTAGCAGAGTAAAACATGTATATGTGAAGTCAGTAAACCAAGCCATTGCAACATTGATTATACATATAGTGTTACATAGAATATATACTATAAGCCTTTATTATTAGATAAAAACATAGACATAGATATAAAGCAGAGAAGTGTGTCCTCTAATGATGAGTGTTTGTGTTATCTTTTGAATGGTATGTGATTGTGCAAGAACCAATACATACACCACTTTAAGAATATTATACTCATTATTATATATGCTGATGTTAAAGAATAGAGATTCTTTTATTATACTGCAGCTGCTATTATACTTTATTTTGGAAAATGTTAATTTTTTAAGAGTACCACTGATTTACAATACAGTTCCAAAGTAAATATATTACAATATAAATAATTATTTAGAATATAATGATATATTTTTCATGCAAAAATGGGTCTTTGCATCCATAATATCAATGCATGTATCACAGCACAGCATAATATTATACTGCTGATTATATCATTCAATAAAAAATATATGCTTGAAAAGAGAATTAAATTTTGATAAGCTTTAAAACAAAAATTGAATAGAAGTAAACCCAGACATAATCATTCATACATAAACATCCATTTCTTATAACATACCCACAGAGGGTGGTGCAGGTCGAGCAGGTGGCTTTGACGCTGTGTGAGTTGTGGCATGTGTAGTGGCAGCCACATTCTGTCTACTTTGTCGTGATGCTGTGTAGTATGATGCATAAGTAAAATAATGCTAAATAATGCTGCTTGTTAG